ACTAAGCAGAATCAAATCCTAACTATCAGAATATACTATAGTAATTCATAACTCGAGTCCATGAAATTAAAGATAAACATTGTCCGTGCAAAGTAGCGTGCGAGGTAGCGCGGATGCCAGCAGTTAGAACAGGTAGATTAATATCTATCTCTAATTACATTATGTTATACGGAACTACTAGCTTAAATTTATGTTGCAATTTGAGAGTGAACTCCATCTATACGTCTAATTATCGCAACGTTGGGTCGCAAGAACTCACCGCAACCTTGTTTTGAAAATGATTGTCCCGACCGATAACCACCCGTTATTTAGTAAAGTCAACCCACATGCATGTGAATACAATGCTAATAGAATTATCCATGAGAGCTATAAATACCACAGGGATATCCAAAAGAGTCCGCATTCCACAAACTCTCAAATTCAAAGCATTTGTACGTAGCCAACACCCAACCGTAGCAATGATCTTTGAGAAGACTGTCGAGCAACCTGACATTAAAAATAAATTGAAGCTTCCCAGTGATTCCAACTGGGAAAAACTTCCATCTGCGGCGGCAACGTTGGACGTTAAAGATCAAGATAATAATACCTGGAAATTTAAGTACAGCAAATCGGCCGAAAAGGCAGACCTCGGTGGGAAAGGTTGGAAAGACTTTGTGAAGAACCAAGACATTAAAGCTGGTAACAAGATCAGCCTTTACAAAACAGGTGACTCCTACACAATTAAAGTCAAAAAATGATAGAGTGATAGCATATTCTCATATATCCTTCCAAGTATTCTTCAGTTAATTATCTTTTTCAGAATAAGAAATGTTTTTTTATAGTTTGATCTACATTTTAAAAAATCAATTCAGGGTTGAAAAAAACAAAGATATCATTAATGGTGTTTTTGTCCTTTTTCATTCTAAATTGATTTTTTAAAATGTAGAATAAACTGAAAAATAACATTGATACTCTCTATATTAGCATTTAGGGTATGATAACCAGGTTATCCTATGTAACTACATGTGTTTGGTTTTAATTTGAGCATAGGGATGCTGCTTTTGTGTTGTCTACTGTCTAGCTGGGGTACTGGTGTTTCTCTAGAATATTATTCGAATTATTGCAGTCTTGTGTGTGATTATACTATCAATGTAAAATATTAATAAAAGTTTCAACTCTTTTATATATTGTGAACAATGTTTCAAAATTTTTATTAACTGATTAATTACTCCATATATTTTAATATAAAGTTTAAAAAGAATGTTTGCACCACCAGAGGACGTCATCGAAAGAGAGCAATAGCCAGCACATGGAATTTTAAATTAAAAAGACAAGCTCTTCCTTTTAATTAATTTAAAATGAATCAATATAAAACAATATATGATATTTTTAATTAAAATCGATGTCAATTTTCTTATTTTTAAGACGAAGACAGTAATTATTAATCAATAATTTCTAGAGCTCTCGGGTTATGGCAAGGAGCGCGGCAGCCAGGAAAGACAGCGGTTACAGACAGCGACAAGGGTACAGGAACAAGGTAGCAGAGTACAGTTCACAGGTTGCTGGATGGTCTTCGAACTTCTTCTTTTACAACTTTCCAGAGGAATTAGAGGCAAAATTTCTATGGAACAGCTTTCAGATGTATGGTAAGGTCGTTGATGTGTATATTCCGAGGAATCGTGATAAGAGAGGGAAGAGGTATGGTTTTGTGCGACTAACAGGGGTCAAAAATGAGATTCAAATGGAGAGGAGGCTGAATGAGATGTGGATAGGCTCATATAAGATGAGAGTGAAGCTAGCAAACGACAGACAAAGGAAACCTTCATCGTATAGGAAGGTTCACGGTAAGCCTAAAGTCAGTAGATCAACAAACATCATGAATAGGCTGGTTATACCAGGACAGACATATGCTCAGGCAGTGAAGGGCCAAGGAAGGAGAGAGGATAAGGCTCCAGATCAAGCTCAGGAAAAGGAAAAAAACGAAATCCCGAAAACGGAAGATGTCAAAACGAGAGCTCAGGGGAATATGGAAGCAGAAATAACAGAGAAGAGTGCTGAAGCAGAAAAAACAGAGAAGATTGTCGAATACACCCCATCGGGTGACGAGCTGAAATGGCTTGAGGGTGGCATGGTGGCAGTGGCGAGGTCAATGGCGTTGATACCTGAGATTCAAGAACAAATGGATGCAGATGGAGGCTTAATCTCGTTATCACCAATTGGGGGAAGACGGGTTCTTTTATCTGAGAAAATTACAGGGTTCATAGCCGATTATATGAAGCAAAATGAGGAGTTATTTAGCATGTGGTTTGAGTCTATAACTCCATGGGAGAAGGCACCAGAGGAGGAAAGCCGTTTGAAGTGGGTGCGCATATCGGGTGTGCCACTAAAAGCATGGGGAGAGAGGTGTTTTTCAGATGATTGGTGAGACAATCGAAGAAGTCCTGTTGGTGCACGAGGACACAAAGAAGAAAGCAATATTATGGGATGGAAGAGTTCTGATCCTTTGCTCGGAGTCCAGTAAAATCTCTAATCAAGTTAAGCTGAAGGTGGGTGAGCAGGTGTATGAAATAGAGATAACTGAAGAGGAATGGCGCTCTGATCCGGATTGGTGGTTAACGGAGAATGGCCGGAGAAGTGACCTGGAAACGGAGTCTGATTTCTCAAACTCGTGGTGTCAGAACGAGGATCCGGAAATGGATATGGATGAGATGGGCGTCGGCGAGGATGTAGGAAACGATTCAGAACATTTAATGAAGGATTTGATCTCAAATTCAAATTTGAAGTTAGTAACGGAAACAGAGAGTTGTTTCCAAATAGTGCAAGAGACAGATTTGGAAGGAGAAGTAAACGATGGGCTGTTAAAGGAGATTGGGCCTCAAAGAGTGAATTGTGATGGGCCAATAGAAGACAGCGGGCCAACCAAACGAGTGGGCTGGGGACAAACAAAGGAAATGCACTTGGAGGAACCCGTTTTAGATGCTCAAATAGAGTTGAACCCATCAGAAACGCAGAAATCGGCAAACACAACAAAGGGGAACAAAAAACAGAGGATGCTTCAAGACTGCTACCCAGAGAGCACGGAGAGGATCTGGGCAAAAGGAGCACCGGGGGTAACTCCCAGAACAAAACAGCGTCTGGAACGGAGAGGAGATCTGGGCAAAAGGAGCACCGGGGATGACAAGGTACATGATGCTATGGCTGTTTCTATTTCAGATGGATGTATTGAAAATAGAAATAGGGTGTTGCAGAGGGAGATGAATATGCATGAAGTGCGTCGGATAATGGGGGTGGGGAAGAGATTGGGTTTTAATTTCGAGAATAATGAGGAGGAGATACAATCAAAGTTGCTTGAGGCAGTAGATCGGGAAGGGGCAGAGAGGAGGGTCGCGAAAGGGAGGTAGAGCCGGTAGTGATGAATGGGGGTTTGTGTGTATAGAATTAATTGATGAAATTTGTGTCATTTAATGTAAGGGGCTTGGGTGGGACACTGAAAAAGAAGGAAGTGAGAAGGCTGGTTCAAGAAGAGAAGCCTGATTTTCTATTCCTGCAGGAAACAAAGTTAGAAAAAGTGGATATAGGAATCTGTAGACAACTGTGGAATTCAGATGAGGTTGATTGGATTGCGAAGGGCTCTTCCGGAGCCTCAGGTGGTTTACTTTGTCTGTGGGATAGTAGGCAGTTTGTTAAGAGGGAGGTTTTTTCTGGTGATGGGTTCGTGGGTTTGGCAGGGGAATGGGGAGCAAATAAAAGGCAATATTTTTTAATTAACGTCTATGGCCCAAATGATAGACAGAAGAAGGCTAGGTTGTGGGAGGAATTGAGAAAAATGGTAACAGAAAAGGAAGGGTGTTGGTTGATAGCAGGAGACTTTAATGCAGTCAGAGGGCCTGAGGAGAGACGAGGTAGAACAGGAGAGAGCCCAGACATGAAGGACTTCGATGAGTTTATTGCGACGACTGATTTGGTGGATGTTAAACTGTCAAATAGAAATTATACATGGTACAAGCCAGATGGCTCAGCAAGGAGTAGATTGGACAGATTCCTATTGAGTGCGGAGATGAGTAATACGGAAGGAGAGTGGA